GTTTGCTCGCCCCGGGAGTCTCGCCAGTGGTCTCAGCCTCCGATTGGCAGATGACTCCCAGTATAGCCTGCGCATGTGCAAGCGCAGGTTGATAGGTGACCGATACTTCTGTGACCCGCCACAATCTACTCTAGCCGCTGGACTGAGATCTAGCGAGGCAAGTCTCAATACCGCTGGGGAGACCACTAGCCTCTCAGACGAGACACTGTCCGAAAAAACTCATTCTCTTTTTCCGACGATCTCTGGATGTGCAGATTTATCGGAATTAGTCTTAAATCAAGCCACACAGAACATTAGCGCCACTAAAGGTTTCTCGAGTGTCCAGGCCACTCAAAATGTATCGTTTCCATATTGCCACACACCACTGGAAATATGTTCTCTTTCGTGCGGGGTTACTTCTCCTCCATAGGATTGTCTTCTTATCTACGTTCGCCAGCTAACTAAATTTGAACTGAAACCCCACTATTGCAGCATTGCACTTGCTCGCCTTTGTCAACGACACACGCCTCAGAGCTGCTTGGCTTTAAAAGTATTTTTCTCATTTCTCTTTAAGGCCCGCTCATATATCACTGTTACTTACCTCTTCTTTCTATCCTTCCTTGAGTTCGCGTTAATTCCGTCTTTGTATAAGCCTGATCAACATGTAACAAGCAGATACAGTTGTTGACTGCACCCAACTCATGAGCTTCCCCTGTACTTATGCTCTGACTCTTAACTGTTCATTATATATCCATTAACCAATCTTCGCACTCGCGAAGACTTGGGCATTGGCCATTTTATCTTTACTATCTTTCTATTTCAGTCCCTTTCTCCACTTAAATGGATAAGAATGTACTGATTATCCTTCGGCAATACTATGCATGAGACTTTAAGCTAGATCATCTATTCCTCAGTGTAGAAGACAACTGATTTTATCTTAATGTTCCTCTTTAGATTCACATCGTATTGTTTAACCTTTTACTTTTTTATTCGTTTCGCCAAAACCTACTTTAAAGTCTGCTTTCCCTCCTCCGATTTCTCTAGCTCATTGTAAGCATTCTAGGTTTTCTCTTCCTCATTTCTAGTTCGCCACCATCTATTTTTATTCCCACTTTTTTATTTCTGATCCCTTCAAAATCTTTTCCTCACCTACATGTTCTCATTAAATTCAGAAATGTATTTATTTATTCTTTATACTATGATCCTCCATTCCCTAAAGCTTCATTTACTCTTGATTTTATTGCCGTATGTCTCTTCAATTAAAGGAATGCATGGTGATACATCTTAATTTATTACTTGCTTTTTCAGTCTTTAAAGTCGCCAAATATTCCGTCCCAACATTCCTGCCACTTTCTTATACTTCATTGGTCCAAACATATCGCTATCTGCTTCCAAAATTCTTTATCCTGTCTATATTTAGGATGGGAACTGAAACGATGCCTTTGGTACCAATACATTACGCTTCATTTGGCACGAGGTCGTGTACTATTCGACCTTCTCGTCTGGTGCAGATCCTACCCCTTCTATTTCCTATAGACGTAATCAAGATATTTGTATTGCGCCTACTTGCTTATTCCCCTTTTCATCAATTTATCTATTGCCTGATTTATCGTTGCCCGTCCGGGTAGTTTCATTTATCGCATAAGTCCTTGCCTACCGAATAAGAAGGAACTTAGATAAAAATTCATTTGATACTTTATGATTTTACTTTGAAATAAAAAGACTCCTCTTCATTTTTTATTGTTTTGCTAAATGCGGCCCTCAAATTGTGACTACTGCCACTGCACTATTTTCTGGGTTTAATGGCCGACCCCAACTTAATTTAAGAGCAGCCTAGAAGAGACAAGTTGCTTATTTAAAAGCTAGCCTTGTGTGCCAATCAAAATTTGATTCCACGTATGAAAGACATAAGTTAAAATCATTAAATAAGTATTTTATTTGAATTTATTAAAATGGCAATTAGGTCGTTCATTC